TAAGTCAACCAATCTTTGTAAAAAATTCTTGTATGTATGTACCTTACCTAAATAAACAAATAAAATAAAATAAAAAATAAAATACTAACCATAAGTCTTGATACCTTTCACAATCTCAACACCATGAAGGTCGTATCTTGTAACTCTATCATCATTACCGAGCCTCAAAACCTTACATTTGTTGTCAACTCCCGTTGTCAACAACAGGACACGTAGCGTCACTACCACTCCCGTTGTCAACAACAGGACACGTAGCGTCACTACCACTCCTGTTATTAACAACAGGACACGTAGCGTCGCTACCACTCCCGTTGTCAACAACAGGACACATAGCTTCACTACCACTCCCGTTGTCAACAACAGGACACGTAGCGTCACTACCACTCCAGTTGTCAACAACAGGACACGTAGCGTCGCTACCACTCCCGTTGTCAACAACAGGACACATAGCTTCACTACCACTCCAGTTGTCAACAACAGGACACGTAGCGTCACTACCACTCCAGTTGTCAACAACAGGACATGAAGCGTCACTACCACTCCCGTTGTTAACAACAGGACACGTAGCTTCACTACCACTCCCGTTGTCAACAACAGGACACGTAGCTTCAGCACCACTCCCGTTGTCAACAACAAGACACGTAGCGTCACTACCACTCCCGTTGTCACCAACAGGACATGTAGCGTCACTACCACTCCCGTTGTTAACAACAGGACACAGCGTCACTACCACTTCCGTTGTTAACAACAGGACATGTAGCGTCACTACCACTCCCGTTGTCAACAACAGGACATGAAGCGTCACTACCACTCCCGTTGTTAACAACAGGACACGTAGCTTCAGCACCACTCCCGTTGTCAATAACAGGACATGTAGCGTCACTACCACTCCCGTTGTTAACAACAGGACACGTAGCTTCACTACCACTCCCGTTGTCAACAACAGGACACGTAGCTTCACTAGCACTCCAGTTGTCAACAACAGGACACGTAGCGTCACTACCACTCCCGTTGTCACCAACAGGACATGTAGCGTCACTACCACTCCCGTTGTTAACAACAGGACACATAGCGTCACTACCACTTCCGTTGTTAACAACAGGACATGTAGCGTCACTACCACTCCCGTTGTTAACAACAGGACACATAGCGTCACTACCACTTCCGTTGTTAACAACAGGACATGTAGCGTCACTACCACTCCCGTTGTCAACAACAGGACACGTAGCGTCACTACCACTCCCGTTGTTAACAAGACACGTAGCTTCACTACCACTCCCGTTGTCAATAACAGGACATGTAGCGTCACTACCACTACCGTTGTTAATAGGACACGTAGCTTCACTACCACTCCCGTTGTTAACAACAGGACACGTAGCTTCACTACCACTACCGTTGTTAACAACAGGATATGTAGCGTCACTACCACTCCCGTTGTTAACAACAGGACATGTAGCGTCACTACCACTCCCATTGTTAACAGGACACGTAGCTTCACTACCACTCCCCTTGTCAACAACAGAACACGTAGCGTCACTACCACTCCCGTTGTCAACAACAGGACACGTAGCTTCACTACCACTCCTGTTGCCAACAACAGGACACGTAGCGTCACTACCACTCCCGTTGTTAACAACAAGACATTTAGCGTCACTACCACTACCGTTGTCAACAACAGGACATGTAGCGTCACTACCACTCCCGTTGTTAACAACACGACATGTATTGTCACTACCACTCCCGTTGTCAACAACAGGACACGTAGCGTCACTACCACTCCCGTTGTTAACAACAAGACATTTAGCGTCACTACCACTACCGTTGTTAACAACAGGACACGTAGCGTCACTACAACTCCCGTTGTCAACAACAGGACATGTAACGTCACTACCACTCCCGTTGTTAACAGGACATGTAGCGTCACTACCACTCCCGTTGTTAACAACAAGACACGTAGCTTCACTACCACTCCCGTTGTTAACAACAGGACATGTAGCGTCACTACCACTCCCGTTGTTAACAACAGGACATGTAGCGTCACTACCACTCTCATTGTTAACAACAGGACACGTAGCTTCACTACCACTCGCCTTGTCAACAACAGAACACGTAGCGTCACTACCACACCCGTTGTCAACAACAGGACACGTAGCTTCACTTCCACTCCCGTTAACAACAGGATACGTAGCTTCACTACCACTCCCGTTGTTAACAACAAGACACGTAGCTTCACTACCACTCCCGTTGTCAACAACAGGACATGTAGCGTCACTACCACTACCGTTGTTAACAATAGGACACGTAGCTTCACTACCACTCCCGTTGTTAACAACAGGACACGTAGCTTCACTACCACTACCGTTGTTAACAACAGGACATGTAGCGTCACTACCACTCCCGTTGTCAACAACAGGACACGTAGCTTCACTACCGCTCCCGTTGTTAACAACAGGACACGTAGCATCACTACCACTCCCGTTGTCAACAACAGGGCACGTAA